CTGTGAAATGCTCATGAATGCGGCGAAAAAACTTTTCGATTCCTTACTTAATCAGTAAAACACGAGTTTTGTCTCGAGTAAGACACGAGCTTCCGGTAACTACGAGCTTTGTAACCTCAGCGAATAGACTGTGTATTAGCAGAGCTGGAATTACCGCGGCTGTTGCGAGAATCAGTAGAAACACGGATAAACCACAACAGTTGATTCTGTCTGTGTTCGTCCGTGTTTTGTCTGTCTGAGTCCGTCAGTGTCTGTCTATCCGTTTTTGTCCGTGTTTTTCTGTCCGAGTCCGTCCGTGTGTGCCACAGGTAAAAAGAGTGAATTGAATGAAGAAGAAAAGACTGACCATTATTTATATACATATCATGGTTGAAAAAATGATGAAAAAATTCAAACCGCCGATCATGGCCAATAGGATTATGGATGGCAGCAAGCGTGGTGGAGCTTCCCGGAAACGTAAGTCTTTTGGTTTCGGGGGAAGTATGGTTGCAAACTAAATTTAAAAATTGACGGAAGGGTACCACCAGGAGTGGAAAAATTAAGCCTGCAGCTTAATTTAACATAACACGGGGAAACTCACCAGGCTTGGACACTGCGGATTGGCAGATTGATAGCTTTTGTGATTCAGTGGATGGTGGTACTTTTAGTGTATACAGCTTCTTAGAGGGATTTGCGGTGTTCAGCCGAAAGAAATTGAGCAATAACAGGTCTGTGATGCCCTTAGATGTCAGGGGCTGCACGCGCGCTACACTGGCAAAATCAACGTGAATGTCCTGGTAGGACGAAAGAAACCATTGACCACGAAAAAAACCATTGAAAATTTGCCGTGATAGGGATCGAAAATTGCAATTATTTTCCGTGAACGAGGAATTCCAAGAATGCGAGTCATCAGCTCGCGTTGATTACGTCCTTGCCCTTTGTATACACCGCCCGTCGCTGCCCGGGAGAATGCCATATCGAGAAATTTTGGAACGTTGATTTAATTTTCTAAATTAATTCGATGGAAACTAAACCGGACTAAACTAAACCGGATTAATTCGATGGAAACTAAACCGGACAAAAGTCCGGATGTTACTTTATTGGTAAAACACGAGTTGCGTCTCGAATAAGACACTAGCTTCCCGTAACTACGAGCTTCGTGACCGCATTTATAATCCTTTGTGTTAGAAGAGCTGGAATTACCAAGGCTGTTGTGCTAATAAAAATTACACGTAGAAAAAACTCGGACGAAGGCGCACAGACAAAACTGAAGAAGGCGTTGTCCAGTTTATGCGTCCCACTAATATCTATGCGTCCCATGACGATTTATGCGTCCCATGACGATGAAATCAAAATTATAGTTGGATCTCATGAAATGAAAAATTATAGCTAGATTAGTAGATTACTGTAACTATTATTTTTGAAGCACTTTTTCACTATTTTTTGTGCATATTTCAAGCCCTTATTTATGACACTTATTATCTAATCTATACTTCTCTAATTATTATTATGAGTTAGACTACAATGATTTCTAAGTATAAATCTTTATTGTCTAATCCCTTTTTTTCTCTAATTTTATAGATTGCTTTCGATTAAAGACTTTTTGAGTAAATATGTGCGATAAGCCAACTGCGAATACTCAAGGTTTCGAGATGTTTTACGCGGAAAATGCTTTGCGAAAACTAAAAATTTTGCCAATTTTTATATTTATCTGTGTTATATTTGTGAAAGTGGATTGGGAAAAGCTAATATTTGGGAAATTCATTGTGAAACAAGCCCACAACTTTAAAAAAGCTTAGTACTAATGCCATCGAGGGAGAAGAAAAAGCGTAAGGAAAAAAGGGAAAGGTACTCTATTATGGGAAAAGTTCATTGAGAACATGTTCAGCCCTGTGATGGGGAATGATCCTAGTGGAAACGAAAGAATGAGAAGGATAGATCGGGCATTAGCTCATATAGAAGCTCAGCTTGCAGATTATGCTATGACCAATGAACATTTTAATCTTGATTCTCCATCCTCTGTGATGCGACAAAATGTAGATACAGCTCTCGATAGCTTCTTCTTTGGAGATAATGATGAGTTTGCTAGCGGAAAAAAATCGGACACGAAATTAAATGCTGATCAGGAAAAAGTTTGGCAAGTAGTTCACGATGCACTCCAAGGAGCCTCATCCAATACTATCTTTGTCACCGGAGACGGTGGCACTGGAAAAACATATTTATTTAATACTATTATTTCACGTCTACGAGACATGAGAATCCGCGTAATTGCTTCGGCATATACCGGTTGTGCAGCGACACTTTTAACAGGAGGAGCTACCGTTCATTCGGTATTCAGGTTCGGAATAAATGTTGAGGAAGATTATACTCCTTCTGTTTCACTGCAAAGTTTTCATGGTAGACGTATTAAAGACAGCCAAGTAATAATAATTGATGAGGTTTCTATGCTTCCAAAGCATATGTTAGAGGGCATTGACAGACTTTGTAAACAATTAGTACCAGCAAATCTTAGAAGTAGTCCATTCGGCGGAAAAATTATTATTTTGAGTGGGGACTTCAAGCAATCGCTACCAGTTGTTGCTGGAGGTTATATGAGAGATCAAGTTAATTCCTGTATACAGTCTTCATCATTGTGGTCGCTTTTCAGGAATAATATTCTAACTCTGAACATAAATATGCGTCAGGGTCAGAACGAGAAACAGTTCACTGATTGGTTGCGTGGAATTGGTAACGGAACTTTCAGTTCCCAAGTTGAAATACAGCAAAAGAATATCGTTAACTCGCGCCAAGAACTGATCAACTTTGTTACGGACAATAATAATGCTCTATCGAATCCGAAAGAGCTCATACATAATCTAATATTAGCACCACATAATGATACTGTAAAGGATATTAACGAGGATATGCTTAAACGAATAAAAGGAAAAGAAAAAATATATTTATCGACTGACGAATCTAAAGTCGATAAGCCAATGGACTACGATGAGATTGAATATGAAGTTGAAGCTTTAAATGCTTTTGATCCAGCATCAATCCCACCACACCGGTTACATCTCAAGGAAGGTTGCGTGGTTATTCTTTTGAAGAATATTGGAGTGAGTCGAGGGCTTGTAAATGGGACTCGAATGATTGTAAGGGAATTGAAGGATGATATATTAAGAGTTGAGGTAGTTACAGGTGCTGTGGCTGGCGCTGGAACATTAGTTTGTATTCCGAGGAGTTGGAGCGATTATGAAGATCCTAAACCAGAAGGACTTAAGTTCCGACGATTGCAGTTTCCTGTTCGTCTTGCATATGCAATGACGATCATGAAGGCTCAAGGCCAAACCGCAAATAAAGTCGGTCTAGACCTTACACACCAAGTGTTCGGTCACGGAAATCTATATACAGCTCTTTCAAGAGTTCGTACGGCTGATGCTTTTAGAATATTCGCTCCATACGTTGATGAAAACGATTGTAAGAATAAAAATGTAAAAAATGTTGTTGCCGATGGCTTAGAATTTTTCTAATGCCTTTTGAATTTTACACGGACACGATTTCACATGACTAATTCCATGGCCTGGGCATAAACTCCCAGTGCCATCGCCGATATATGCTAATAAAACTCCGAGGATGCACGGCTCCGGCCCTGCGGAGGAGCGCCTGGTGAATGAGATCGCCTTCACGCGGTGCCAGGTGTTTGGAACTAAACGATCTCTGAGAAACAGCAAGGTCCCTCTAATATAATTTGTAGTTTTTACCACAAAAATGACCTACATATGATGGTAATCCTGCTTAGTACGAGAGGAACGGCAGGTTCAGACATTTGGTTCATGTGCTTGGTCGGTAGACCAATGGCGCGAAGCTACCATCTGAGGGATTATGACTGAACGCCTCTAAGTCAGAATCCCGCCCAGTCATGATAGCAATATATATCGCTTTCCGGTGTCGGAAATCAAAATGTAAGCCACTTTTTAGTGGTATTACAAGCCCCAGTATCTGGCATTTTCCTTCTACTATGATCGGTAGTTGGTTGCTAACGCCTACACTTCCTGTGCGGGTCTACTGTCGGGGCGCAAAATCACTTGTATGCGACTTGAATACTGGTCAGGGGGTTGTATCCAGAGAGCCATCACAATCTGTTGAAATATAGCCCTTGATCGGATGATTTGCCTTTATATACACTAAAGACCTGTTTATTTTTTACACGGAGCTGGCTACGAGCCGAAGGCTAAGCAGGGAGCTTAGAGGTTTAATCCAAAGAGCATTAAGCCGATGCTTAGTGCTTAGATACACGGTCAGTAAAAGCACGGTCTCGGCGATCTCGGCATGTTTTTGAGAATTTTGGTACGCAAGGTGTCAGATTTCTTCCTTTTTTAGAATTTTGGTAAGTTTTTGAAAATTTAGGTGCCCTTCCGTCAATTCTTTAAGCTTCCGTCAATTATTTAAGAAGATTACGAAAAATCGATAACACCCTGAAACATCCGGAGAGTTTCAGAGTCCTTCCTCGATTTCATTTGATTTTCCCTGTGGCATTATTCAATGAAAAATGACTGATTTTTAAATATGTATTTACGAAAGGGTGAGGGGCAAACTGAGGTGAGGGACTTCCAAAATAGTCCAGGCAAAACACGTTTTTCTGACAGACCCGAATTCGACTTGGTCGAATTCGGGTCTGGGGTTCGAAATAATCAAATTCTAAGCTTAGATTCTGACTCAGCACACTCGATTACCTACTAGCAAACCTCAAAAATACCAAAACAGCATTTCTTCCGCATTTTTTGGGCCGTATAAACTGGGCGGAGCTTCTTGTGCGCCGGCGGCGCGCTGCGATAAAAAGAATGTCAACAAGAGGCCAAATTACAAATTCATGAAGGGGAAATTCCCTAAATGAAATATATTTATTTGGTCAAAAAAAACTTCCATCGAATAATAGCCTTCTAGCTAATTGGTGGAGTGAAAGTGGTATTTTGTTGAGACTAAGCGTCTTCGTCGAAGGATGTAGACTTGCCGTTTCATCATTGAAATGGCAAAACGAGCATTTTTTCGTTTGGTGGTCCTGCCTGAACTGATGTGTTTATTTCAAAGATTAAGCCATGCATGTATAAGTTTAATCGTTTTAACGAGAAACCGCGAACGGCTCATTACACTGGCCATGATTTACTTGATCTTGATTATCTAATGGATAACTAATAATCTTTCAAGCGTCCACTTTATCAACTTGACGGGAGCATAATCGACTCCTGGGGTGGTGACGGATAACGGAGGATAAGGGTTCCACTCCGGAGAAGTGGCCTGAGAAATGGTCACTACGATTAATGATGGCAGCAGGCTTTTAAATTACCTCCTCTCCATTTGAGGAGGTAGTGACGAGAAATGAAGAGATCGGTCTCTTTGAGGACGGTCATCGGAATCGGTAAAGTTTAAACACTTTAACGAGTATCAAGCAGAGGGCAAGTCTGGTGCCAGCAGCCGCGGTAATTCCAGCTCTGCTAATACATCGAATTATTGGCGCGGTTAAAAAGCTCGTAGTTGGATTCGAATCGGTACCCTGGAATGCTCCGGGTGTTTCTGGGTGTTATCGACTATCTATCCGCCAATGGAAATTTATAGCCTTGGTGGAGCTTCTCGGAAACGAAAGTCTTTCGATTCCGTGGGAAGTTGGTTGCGAAGCTGAAACTTAAAGGAATTGACGGAAGGGCACCACTGGGAGTGGAGCTTGTCGGCTTAATTTGACTCAACACGGGAAAACTCACCTGGCCCGGACATTGTTAGGATTGACAGATTGATAGCTTTTTCATGATTCAGTGTTTGTGGTGCATGGTTGCGCTGAAGAAAATTGAGCAATAACAGGTCTGTGATGCCCTTAAATGTCCGGGGCAACCTGGCCCGGACATTGTTAGGATTGACAGATTGATAGCTTTTTCATGATTCAGTGTTTGTGGTGCATGGTTGCGCTGAAGAAAATTGAGCAATAACAGGTCTGTGATGCCCTTAAATGTCCGGGGCAACCTGGCCCGGACATTGTTAGGATTGACAGATTGATAGCTTTTTCATGATTCAGTGTTTGTGGTGCATGGTTGCGCTGAAGAAAATTGAGCAATAACAGGTCTGTGATGCCCTTAAATGTCCTGGGCAATCTGTCAATCCTAACATTGTTAGGATTGACAGATTGATAGCTTTTTCATGATTCAGTGTTTGTGGTGCATGGTTACGCTGAAGAAAATTTAGCAATAACAGGTCTGTGATGCCCTTAAATGTTCGGGGAAAAATCACCCCCGAAAGGGGTGGTTAAGTTTTTCCGTGAACGAGGAATTCCAAGTAAATGCGAGTCATCAGCTCGCGTTGATTACGTCCCTGCCCTTTGTACACACCGCCCGTCGCTGCCCGGGACTGAGACATGTTGAGAAATTTGGGGACCATTTATGTAATTTCTCTAAATTACTTTGATGGAAACCAATTTAATCGCAGTGTCTTGAACCGGACAAAAATCGTAACAAGGTCACTAGTGCAGATCTTGGTGGTAGTAGCAAATATTTAAGACTGTTGAGCTTGGCATCGGTCTACATTAAGACGAAGATTCGAAGGCGATCAAGTATACTGGGGCGGTAAATTCTCCTAACCTAGTGGGTTATTGCGGTATTTCCTCTGTGTTGGTTCCTTATAATCAACACACACAGGAAAGGCCAAGCCGCTATATTAAACCCTACCGGCATGCAATAAGAATATCATTGTAACATAGAAAGTAAGCAGCCGGGAGGGACAAAAACCTCGTAAAGACAAAATAACATTGAAGGTATTTTTGATTGCCGGAGAATCGTTGACTATGTATCTGAAGCCACTAGAGGTTAAAAAGCTCGTAGTTGGATTCGTATCGGCACCCTGGAACCCTCCGGGTGTTTCTGGGTGTTATCGATTTATCGTAATGTTCGGTTTTGAGTCCTTAACAGGATTCTTAACAGGCATTGCAAGTTTACTTTGAACAAATCCGAGTGCTCAGACAGGCGTTTTCGCTTGAATGATCGTGCATGGAATTATAGAAAACGATTTCGGTTCAGTTTTATTGGTTTTACGGACTGATAAAGAATTGGCTCTGCTAATTTTGTACGATAATGATGATAGGATGTCCTATGAATCCTAGGCATGATTTGACTTTTTTCTGAATCGTACAAAATAAATAATTTTTTATAGTATACCGTTTTTTTCAACGAGGAATTCCCAGTATGTGCGAGTCATCAGTTTACGATGGTATATTTTTGAAATTACTGATGAATTATCGGCAGATCTTGGTGGTAGTAGCAAATATTTAAAAAAAAGTAGTGTTGCTATAATGGTAATCCTGCTTAGTACGAGAGGAACGGCAGGTTCAGACATTTGGTTCATGTGCTTGGTCGGTAGACCAATGGCGCGAAGCTACCATCTGAGGGATTATGACTGAACGCCTCTAAGTCAGAATCCCGACCAGTCATGATAGCAATATATATCGCTCTCCGGTGTCGGAAGGCAAAATGTATATCACTTTTTGTGGTAGTACAAGCCCCAGTATCTGGCATTTTCCTTCTACTATAATTGGTAGTTGGTTGCTAAAAGCTTAGCACTCCTCGTGCAAGTGTAACGTCGGGGCGCAAAATCACTTGTATACGACTTGAATACTGGTCAGGGGGTTGTATCCAGTAGAGCAGCTTTTCGCTGCTATCTGTTGAGACTTAGCCCTTGATTGGATGATTTGTCTTTTTATATACTATAGACCTGTTTATTTTACAAGGAAATTCGTAGAGGTTGCTTATTAACTCTACTTAGCCAGGAGAGGTTTTCCAAGAGCATTAAGATGCTTAGTGAGCACGGACGGACTCGGACAGAAACGGACGGACACGACAGAAAACGCGGACTGGGACGTTCCGTACTCAAAGTACCGTGTATTCAATGAAAGTATAGACCTGTTTATTTAACGGAAATTCGTTGCTTAGCCAGAAGCCAGGAGCAGATGCTTAAAGGTTTGCCAGGAGCACAGCCGATGCTTAGATTTTTAAGCGGACTCGAAAGCTATAAAAATGAACGCTCGAATTCGTTCATTTTTTTGTCCCTTGGGTTTTTCGCCCCTATTTGTTCAATCTTCAGTGGTCAAGGGTCAGGGTCCCTACCAAAAGAAGGGCGGAATCTTTTTTCATTAACTGCAAAAATTCGAAGAGGTTGCTTAGCCAGGAGCCGGGGACGGACACAAAACACGGACGAGATTCGGACAAAATTAAAATAAATTGAAAGGAAAATGGAGAAAAAAGGAAGAAAAATGGAAACGGATGGACGGACAAACAAAACGAACGGATTCTGACACAAAACTCGGACGAAGACGGACAAAACGAACGATACTGACAAAACAGACGGACTCGGACAGACAAAATACAGACGAACTCGGATAGACAATACACGGACGGGGACGGACACAAAACACGGACGAGCGCAGACACACAAAACACAGATGGTGTGTGTTTTGTCTGTCCGAGTCCGTCCGTGCTTTGTCTGTCCGAGTCCATCCGTCTCCATTTTTCCTTTCCTTGTATGTAATGAAAAAACGATTCCGGCCTTCTTTTGTGATAGGGTCGCACCGGGCCCTTTCATCTTCAGTAGTGCACGTATCCGGATATATCAGGGTCATTATCCGTATCAGGTTGTATCCGTCCAACTTTTGAGTTATTCATTCGCGTATACATATATCGGTTTTTATCAAAATGGTGCTGACAAAAATTTATAAAATGGTCAATTAATTTTGATTTGGGGAAGTTAAATAATAATAATTGCATTGCAAAGCGTCGCAGGCGAAAATTTTGAAAATTCAAAGAGAATTGATTTGTTGAGAATTGATTTTCGAAAATTGATCTCTAAAACGACGACTCTGATTGACATGTTACTGGGAAATTATATGAAATTGAGGGTTAATGAATGAAATTTGAATGAAATTTATTCAGTTGTACCAAATATGTAAGTACAACTGAATAATTTAACGTAAATCTCCAAGAAAAAAATAAACCTAGCACAGTTTTAAAGCCGCAGGCTTTCAACGCGCGTCCATGGACGCGCCTCTACAATGTAACCAAATGTTCCCCCACGTAACTAAATTTTAAAGCTATAAAACCCATTCAGCTACTCACCCTTCAGCTGGTTTTATTTAAAATAAATATTTATAATTTTGTACTTTTTTATTGACTAATGATAAAGAAGTGCCGCGCACTCTAAAAAAAGTACATTCTCTATAAAGGACATATTAATTAGTAAACAAAAAGTCTCAAAATATTAGGTAATCATTAAGCAATTTTAAATATTTGTTTTTAATTTACCTTTATGTATTTTTCATGTGAATTTAATAGGTAAATATTTCTCAATATTTAATTTTAAATGGCAGACATTAAATAGACCGCATATAAAATCCATTTGAATCAGGCATAAAGCTTTAATTACTTTTATTAAAAAATATTTTTTCTTTACTAATTCAAAAGAAGTATTTCAATGTTTTTAATCAAATTTTTATTTTTTTCTCAAATATTATTTTTAATATTTTCTTTTTGTTTTTCATTTTATAAAATTAATCAACGAATTTTGGTTGAATCCACAGAAAATAACAAAAATGAGGATGGAAGTTTTAAAATAAAATTATTGAAAATGGAATTGACTGAAAGGAATGAAGAAAGTAATAATGATAAAATAAAAATTTTATTGGAAGTTAATGCAAAAACCGAGAACGATGATTTTTTTATTATTACTGCTGGATGGAACTGCATGTATAATAATAACAATTTTCTAACAACTATAGTTAAAATTAATGCTGATAAAAACGGGAACAAATTAATACAACTTGAAAATATCTCAATCTATTACAGTGATGGTATAAGGATTTGTTCATCAGTGCGTGACAAATACCCTATGGTGAGAATACCTTATGTTTTAAAATTAGAGTATTTTTAAAATTGAAAATGGAAGTATTTCCATGAAACGGTTTTGTCTCGACCGTGGTTTAGCCTGACGCGAACTTTTATAAATAAAGTATTATCCACGGCCAAAATCTTAATCTTTTTATACAAAACTTGATCTGTTTTTTTGAGACGCATTTAATCTTGTTTTTTTTAATTGACCAATTCATTTCATTTTTAGGAATTAATGACTTTGCTACCTATATTTAATGGACAAATCAATTTGGAAGCAAATCAGCTGTCAGATGATAATATTGCAGGAGATAATATTTATCAATGTAAAAATATAGACATAAACGGTGGAAGTGCTTGGGTATATATTACATTTAGAAGCAATTATAAATTAACAAGATTAATATGTCTTTTGAATCATGAAGGACCTAGAAAAATTTTAAAAAGAGAAAATTATACCAAGGCTAATTTATTTGAACCATTTTCTTTAAATGCCCAAAAACCTGAAATGATAATGGAATATTCTCACATTGAAATTTGTCTAAAATTTAAAAATCCAGGCATTTATTTTGTAACTGTCGAAGGAAAATTTGATGAGGGTTGTCTTGAATTTTTTGTTAAAATTAAAAAAGAAAATGAGGAAAAATGTGTTTTCAAAATGTTCGTGAAAATGAATGATTTGGAGAAAAAAGTTTTGAAAAGTTTGAGACAGTCCATAAATATCTATTTGTCTGAAACGGAAAGAGATGATATTGAAGATGGTCAAATGGATGTATATGATGATGACTCATACATCGGCAAAAATCAAGAAAGGGTTTTAGAAATAACTTCAATTCTGAATGAAGGAATATATGAATTTCATTTAGACAAAGAAGGAATAACAAGGGAAGTGGAGGTGGTTGATTCGGATATCGAATTTGTCAATTAAAATAATAAAGGAGATGTATCAAAATAATTTAAGAAATCTTTTTAAAAATCTTATTTCATAAAGAAATATTTTGAAATCTAAATTTTTTTCCAAATTTCAATAAATTTAAGTCAATTTCTGAATAAGCTTATTTTTTATTTCATTTATTATTAAGTATTTTAAAATTCTTTGTTTTCATTGACTTTTTTCAATTAAATGATTTTTTATGAAATTTATTTTCATCAAATTTTTAAAAGGCCTGTCAATTTATTTTTTAAATATTTTTTCCAATTTTACTTAAAATTCACTTAATATACCGTATTTCCTCTAAAATAGCCCCTCTCTAGAAGTCGATCAAAAATCTAGATTTAGAAAATGGTGAATGGCGGAACTTATTATCTGGTTCAGAACCCCTTATACTATCAATTCTACAAATTCAAAATCATACAAGAAATTGGCCAGTTAAGTCTAAGATGATGCGAGAAAATTTAATGAATTATTTTAATAGTGATATTGGATCATTTCCTTAACAAGAAAAAATGGTTTAAATTTTGTTTGATAAAAATTTCATTTTTAATATTTCTATCAAAAAATTGAGTGTTTACATATAAAACGCTGGCTTTTGCGGAAAATGCTGGCGGAAAACGCTAAAAAGTGCTATTTAGCATGAAAACTACGTTTTGCCGCCTACGGAAAAATGCATTGCGGAAAATGCTGTTTTCATGTAAGCACATATCAGCGTTTTCGCGAAACGGCAGCGTCTTAATGAAGTTTCGATTATAAAAACGAAAATGTATGATTCTCAAGTATTTTGTAATGGTTTAACCATTGTTGTTTGATTGCTTGACTTGTTTAAAAATTTTGGAAGAAACTTTTTGCATAAATGTTTTCTAAAAGTATCACTAGCCCAAAACAACAACCAGCTAGGCAAAACAACAGAACCAAAATCCATAGTCCAAGGATATTGAGTTAATACAGCGTCAAAATATTCAGTGTATTGAGCAAATATTGTCGTTGATAGCTAAATAATTGGGGAAATGAATAGAACGAAGCAAACATTGTTAAAACAATGTTTTCCGGAGGTATTATTTATTTAATGTTTTTCCGGAAAAGAAAATAATGCGAAAACAATGTTTTCAGCAAAATATGTTTTCCAAGAATAAAACGGACATTGTTTTTCGACTTCAGAATTCATCCAAACATTTTCCGGAAACATAATAAAACAATGTTTTCAGAAATAAAAAAAATTTTTCCCGATAAAATAATTAAATAAACAATGTTTTTCCGGAAGCTTAATGTTGATTCAAACATTTTCCGGAAATATAATAAAACAATGTTTTCCAACGACTCCAAAATAAACATTGTGGCTCTGTTATTGAGTCCAATGACATTTTACGAGTCCAAGGAAAGTTTATGAGTCCAATGAAGGTTTATGAGTCCGATCAAAAGTTTTGATTGGACTCAAATACTTTCATGGGACTCATAAAATGTCGTTGGACTCATAAACTAGACTAGGGCCAACAATGTTTTTCCTTATAACAGAATTAAATAAACAATGTTTTTCTGCTTTAATTAATTTAAACATTTTCCGTAAACATAATAAAACAATGTTTTCCGAAAAAATGTTGGTTGAATTTATCGAAAACAATGTTTTTCTACTTTAATTATTAATTCGAACATTTTCCGGAACATGATTAAATAATATTTTTTCGGAACGATATAAATATTTACTTGTTCTAAAACAATAATTAAATGTCCAATAAAAGTGGCAATTGCATAAACCATTAATTTACATATATTCCGTTTTCTCATGATCTAATTGTTGATTGCTTTTAATTGCAGTGTTTTTCTTGCAATGTTTTCGATAAGAAATTAAAGTTCCAACATTTAGAAAAACACAAATAATTACAAACATAACGCAGAGAATTGGGTTTAATGGAATACTTCCATAAAGAGTCTTAAAGTTTTAATATTATTTTGCTTAAAATTTGAAAATTTAACAAACAATTTTGTCTTGTCCAATGTAAAAACCTCCAGAACTTGTATCATCTGAAGGAAACAATTTACAGTGAGTATTGGTATATACAATAAAGTTGGAATTCCAAACACAATCAATGCGGAAGGAAAAATAAGTTTATTCCAAACCTTGGGTATTTTTTAAAGTTTTGTTTGAGTTGTATAATTTTCTGGAATAGATACGGTAATAACATGTTTCATCCCGAAACAAAATTTGTTAAGTGTAACTAGAGCCAGGAATTTTGTGCTGCATGGTATTCCGTATTGAAATACCAAAAAATAAAAAATACAGTCGATAATACAGTATTAAGCACTGTATTACCGACTGTATTACCGATCCGGAATACTGAAAAATACCAAAAAAATGACGAGAATTTTTATCGGTACTTTTTATCGGTCAGTATTAATACTTATACGGAATACAATAAATACCATAAAATACCGTCGTAGTAAGGTATCATCATGACTCTAAATAGTATAAGAATGGTTTTCCTAAACTATATTAACCAAAGATTTATATTTTGTCAAGCTGACAAAATTTTCGGTATTGAGATCAAGATTTTCCGGATTTTCTGTAAATATTTTAGTTACCCATTTATAATTCATAGGCATAGTAATTGCAGTCTAACGATTTGCAAGAATTAAAGAAGTCGCCAAAAAATCCGCTAAAATTGTAGAATATGTGAGAAAAAAAGAAAGACGTAACATCCAATTTGGCAATAAATCGTAAAAAGGATATAGCCAATTACCGAAAAGAATTGTTAGGCGATAACAATAATAAGAGTCAAGAGTGTAGAGAATATTCTGAAATAAAACATGTTTATCCGGAAACATGATTTAAAACTCATTTTCCGGAAGAATAAATATTACATAGACGTTTTCCGAAATGGTGAGATTATAACTATTCATGCCATAACTTTATTCAAATTCAATATAATTAGATTATTACAAAACATTGTTTATTACAATTACATTTACAGAACATATCTTCCGTAAAAGTTTTTCGAGGATTCAGGAATTTGTAATTGCAAAAAATAAACTTACCGGAACGGAACGAATTAAAAAAAGTTTGTAAAAAGGATTGTGAAACTCTTTATTTCCAATAATTGTAATTATTTCAATTAAATAAAGAATTATTGAAGGAAGACTAATTACAATTGCAAAATAAATAAATTGAATTCTTAAAGAGGATAGCCAAACAAAAAATTGGATTGTCATTGAAAATTAGTTTTTAACTTAGAGTACAAGAAAAAATTTTTTATTTAAAAATTTTCATAAATGAAGTTAAATACTTTATAATATTTATTAAAAACATATTTTCCAACTAGCTAATTAAATATTCATTTAACCTTTCATTTTACGTAAATATTTGCTTTATTTAAATGGCAATTATTTAATAAACATGTCCTTTTAACTGCAGGTGATAATTTTAATTTAATCTAAGAAATGTTAATAAAATTTATTTTAAATTATAAAGTCAAAAGGAGAAAGTAAGTTGTGGAAATTTAAAATTACCAAACTTTTTTTAAATGTTTAAAAATAATTAAAAGTAAATTGGTATTAACCATAACGTTTAAATAAATTTTATAAAACAAAAAATAATTTAATCAAAAAATAAAAAAACAAAATTTTCAAAAAATATTCAGTTATTCGATTCAAAATTTATTCCAAGTTCGATGTATAAACCCAATAAATTCTAATTTTGAGTTTAAACCCCATAAACGAACACTTTCTTGATTGAAAAATGATAATCTCACTTTGTTAAATCTTTTTTTGATAATTTATTTTGTTTTTAAGGTAATATTCAATTTCGTTCCCCCCTCCTTTTTTTCCATCCTCATAGTATTAAAAAATGGTCAGTCTGGCTTAAGTTATAGAACTCGTCGAGCTGGTCGAATGACACCAAAATCAAAAAAATCCGACTTGATTTGACCGAAATACAGACCCCTGAAAATTGAACAACCACGGGGGCGGAATACAAAAAAGATGAAAAAGTATACAAATGATAGCTCTTTCGAAAGAGCTCGTCGAGCTGAGTCGAATGAACCGAAATCAGCGCGATTGGACAAGATTTGACAAAGTTATGACATAAGTCGTCAACTCCGTTAGGTCTACACTTAATGTCATAACTTTGTCAAACCATGTCCAATCACGTCGTTTTTGGTGTCATACGACTCAGCTCGACGAGCTCTTTCGAATGAGCTATCAGTTGGATAAAAAATTTTTATTCTAAAAAATCACCCCTGTGGTTGTTCAATTTTCAGGGGTCTGTATTTCGGTCAAATTAAGTAGGATTTTTTTGATTTTGGTGTCATTCGACTCAGCTCGACGAGTTCTATAACTTAAGTCAGACTGACCATTTTTTAATACTTTGAGGATGGAAAAAAGGAGGGGGGAACGAAATTGAATATTACCTCTAACTTTTGGATTGTGAATATTAGCAATTTGATAATTTGTATATTTTGTATAATTAATTTGTTTAATTTCGATTTTTTCTGCCCTTTCGTTTAATTTAAAACTTGGGGGAGCAAACAGATTAATGTCAATAACAGTCACCATTTTTGAAAAATCTCTCGATGTTGTTATATACTAAAAATTTAAATTTATTTTTGATTTATAGAAGACAAATTACTTCTATAATAATATTATAAAGTTGTTTTAACTTAGAACTTCTCAAACAAATTTTTGGGAATTTATTGCCTTCATTTATTAAAATATTGTATAAAATTTTTGTATATTTCTCTATAATGTCAACGTTATCCAAATTGATATGAAGAGATTCAGAAATTGTTAAATGATTTAAAGAGAATTTTAAAACACTTTCAAATGTTTTGTCACTAGCAAAAATAAAAAGTTTTTGAAAGTTAAATTTAATTGATTTGTCGTTATGGAATAATATATTGATCATTTCTGGATTAAGTACATTAATGTTAAAAAAAGCATATACAAAGGCACACTTTAAAAGTTGTTCCAACCAACACCGAATAATAATTATTTCTTCAATATTTTTTGGAATGTTTGGCAATTTTAAAATATAATAAGGGTTTCCGTGCAATAAATAGGAGGATGCTTTCTCAATACAAACAAGAAAGTTTCTACCATTTCCAAAATTATTTAAAAACAACGGAATTGATCTTTCTATTGCCGTTTGCCACTGAAAAAATAAATGAAAGTATTTAATTTAATTAAAAATTAATTTAACCTTATTCTTAAGTTGATCATTTAAAGTAAATTCAAAAACTCCAGATTTAGGTCCAATGAATTTATATGATTGTCCTCCTTTAAGAAACTCACCGTCAATCCAAAATTAATTTAAATAAAAAAAATTATTTAATAAATATTAACCATTTGAAGTTTATTGAACTTCATTCGTGCCAATCTTTCCTCATATTTATTAATTAAATTGTAAAAGTAATAATTTGTTAATTTAAAAGAAAATAATTGGTTGAAATTAAGAAATTTTAATACATCGAGTTGAACTTCAGTTGGCAGAAAATGCATTTTAATATCTAAATAAAGCTCTAGGCACCTAATTTACAGCCCTACTCTTTACATGGATTGACATAATTTTTTCAAATATTGTGGAGAAAGGACGCTTATCTTCCAAGTAAAAATGTCTGGGTCACATTGAGGTAAATTCTCCTATATTATACTTAATAAGAGAAAACCTTCCCTAATAAACTTAATTTATTTGGGTGGGGGAATGACAACTCATGGAATATTTTAAAAATCGGAATTTTTTGAAAAATCTGAATATTCTTAAAAAATAAGAATTTAAAACAGATTAGAATACTTCAACATTAGCTAATATAATTTCTTAGCATTTTTTCAGTTAATTTTAGGCCTTTATTAAATTTTTAAAAATGCTTTCTTTACCATTTGAAGTTCAACTTGATATTTTTAAATTTCTCAATTACGGAGAATTATGTTCAATTAAACAAACAAATTTATATTTTCGAGATTTTATTTATAAATTTGAAGGAGAACTTGCTCGGGAGAAATTTTATATTATTTCTATTGTAACAATTTTTTAATTAATCTAATTTTTAAAAATTTATTTAAGGAGTATTTAAGTCCCTTCAAAAATTTTCCTCATAAATTAATTAAATCTAAAGAAAATTTTGACTTTGCCTTATTTAATGAGCAACAAAAAGAAATAAATGAACAAATTGAACAAAAGGTTAAAGAAAATAGTAAATAAAGTCAAAATTTCTTTCCTTTTTAGTGGAGCAACGGACTACAAGATCCGATTCGTTTGTATTTGCCTGATCGAGGATTAATAGGTGACAATATTGTCATTTGCGTAACTAGAGGTAATCTATTTTTTCATTAAGAAATTTGTATAAATTTCAAAAAGTTAAGTGGAACTTTTTCCTTTAACGTTTTGTACGGCCCCCATCTTGCGTCTCGAACTGAATACAACATAATCTAAAAATAATTAAGATTCAGGAAAAAATTTTGGTACTAAGTTATCCCTACGTGTTTTTTCGAACTTTTTTTGCGTCATAAAAAAGAAAGAATCACTCCAAGGACCAATAGTTCCCCCGAGCAAGCATAATTTCTTCAAACACGTCTCATACCCATCATTTTCCTCCACATAGACCGCCAAAATAACTCCAAATGACGGCGTGCTGTTCCACGATGTTGTTTACTTTTCCATTTTGCACTTCCCTACATTCTTTTTCCAATTATTACACCCAGTCTTCGGATCAATAAAGTTGTAATCTAACATATCACGGTATCATTCGATACACCTCGACGAGCTCTTGCAAATGATATGATAAATTATAGATCAAGAAAATGAACGGGGTGAGTTACATGATATTATTACCCATTTTGTCAAAGGTGTAGCCCCTCCAAGTTTTTTATTTATCCGAACGGGTACAGCAAGCATAATTTATAGAAATTATAGTAGTAATAGTTAAGTTTGTGTCACCTATTTTTTGTTTCGGTTGTAGTGTAGTGTACCCGAGGTAAAAGTTCAGGGCATGACATATGTATGTTATTCGCTTCGTCTTGACGAGCTGAGTCGACGGCACCACTCCCAATTTCAGGAAATGATTCTGGACCGAGTTATTGCATATTCGAATTTTCACCCCAAAATCGACCTTACTCCCCCTATGGTTTTTCAATATTTCGGGACCTATAACTCGGTCCAGTATCATTTCTTGAAATTGGGAGTGGTACCGTTAACTCAGCTTGTCGAGAAGAATCGAATGACATATGTCACGTCCCGAACTTTTACCTCAGGTACACTACACTACAGCCGAAAGAAAAAAAGGTAGTACCAAAAATTTTTTTAGCTCACGACAATGAAAGACGTATAAGTATACTTCAACTTCCAACGATTATTAAAAACAAAGAGGACATCAAAATTGTTTATTATTATTTATGTCTTCTGTTTAACTGTTATTTTGTTTATGCCAACTTTGATGAATTTATATTCAATCCAGAATTGCTCCAATTACTATTTGGTAATGCTAAAATTCCCAGACAATTTTATGTTATGCATGCGCTTATAATGCCTTCTAAGGCTTACACTAGCGAAAATCTAGCAAAATTTGGTGTGAATCATTTAATTTGCAAATCTTATCGAATCAAATTTATTTTTAAATACAATACTGAAGAATATATAAATATTTTAAACAAAATTTTAATGAATGGAGACAAGTTTAAAAATGTCAATATAATTTGTAGTCATAGCATACCAGAACTTTTTGATTTGGTTATAAATGTAGGTTTTTGTAATTTTTTGTTCTTTTTCGAAATCAAAAGTATCAACCCTCGATGTTTAGAATTATTTCTGGTTCGTAACCAAATTTTATTTTTTTTTAAATTGAATTTTCTAAAACCGAGGACTGACTGTATATGAAGAACCCAAATTATATACATATTTTTATTTAATAATTTTTTGTATTTTAGTATATTAAAACGTCAAAAGATTGTTCAAAGATGGTTGATAAAATTGAATTAAATAAAATTGGTCATAATTTTGATAGTTTAAATGAGAAGGCTGAAAAGGTTGAAGGGTCACGTTGTGTTTGGGACAAACCGAAATACCAACTTTCCAACTTTTATAATCCAAAAATTAAATTCTCTATCGTGTTCAAGGGACTTGCAGCCAATGGCGTTGAATTCGAACGAATTTATTGTTAAATCTATTTTTTGATACATAAATAATTTATTTTAAATTTACCTTTGACGATGGACTGGATCTGCCTTGAATTTTCTGTTCTCTTAATTTTTTATGAAATTGCGTCTTTTTTGGATATTGTCTAGTATTATTTTTAAATCCAAAAGTCGATTTTTGGGTAAATTCAGAAAAGTCCATTTTGCCGATCTATGGCTTTATTTTATTTGATTTTAAAAATCAGTTTTAAAATTTTTGTTTTTTGATAAACATTATAAAAAAAATTTTTGTTTTTCAATATCTGCAGAATTTTTACAGAGAAATTTTTATAATCTTCCGCCCGAATTTAAAAAACTTTCTTTCTTCACAATTCCATGTTAGAGTCTTAAATTAAGCAGAAAAAGCCAATATTGAACAATCGAATGATTCAACAACTATGTACCATTTATCAAATTGCCAATATTTATGAGTCAAAAGTGGGATTTTCATTTTTCACCCAAGAATGGGAAGATTTTTGAAGTCAAAATTAAAATAAAGAATAATTCGAAGGATCAAAATCTATTTTTGGCCATATGTATTTTAAAATGTAGAACTGCGTTGGGTATTGGGTTTAGTATAAAAGCCATTCTTGTATTTAGTTTGGGTTTCAGTGTATTGTTATTTTATTACTACTCTGATATTTTGTTTCGTTTCCAACAATAAATTCGATGTTTATTGTTAGCTATGTTTTTATTGTTATCGTATTATTTATATCGAAAGTACAGTTTGTTAATTACTGTTTTATCTCTTTTATTCTTTTGTTAGTACTAAAACTTTGGATTTAAGCATCTAACAAACTAGAATCTCTTCATTTCTAATCTCCTCATTTTAGTTTTCTCAATTTTTCACAATAAAACTGCAATTTTTCGATTTCAAATATTTTATTAGAATTATTCTCTGTAATATTTCTTTTTTAGACAATTAAAATGTTTTCTCTTCCAATTGAGGTTCAGCTTGATATATTAAAATGTCTTGATTTCGACCAATTATTCTCTGTTAAACAAACCAATTTTTACATGCGCAGTTTAATTAATAAATATGAGGGAACAATGGCACGAAAAAATTTCCATAGCCTCTTAATAGTAAATATTTATTCTTGTAAAGATATAGATATTTAATTCCTACAGCTATGCCGTCTTCGAAGATTATAGTTTTGAAATAGTTTTATGCATAAACTTGAACCTTTAGTTGATCACCAGTCCGGTCAGCTGAAGGTGCTGTGTCTCCGAATAACCTTTACATTAGCTGAAGGAAAAATAGCTTGCCTAGCTTTTTAACTGATAATTTGTATTTTTAAGATTAATGAAAATGAAAGGAACGGTTTTCTTGACTACATTGAACTTAAATCTGGATTTTTTGAATTTACCTGGGATGATCAAATTAAAGAGAAGGTAAAATTTATTCTTAATTAAATTACATTCATTTATTTTTTCAGTGGCAAGCAGCGATAAACAAATCAATTCCGTTGTTTTTACATGAGTCTGAATCTGTAAAAAACTTATTTGTTTCAAGTCCTCATATGGTGTGCCAAAAACGTTATTATTTAAAACTGCCAACAATTCCAAAAAATATTGAGGAAATGATTTATGTTCGTTGCTGGTTAGAACAACTTTTTAAGTGCGCTTTCAAATCTGTTTATTTTTCTGAATGTATATTCAATCGAGAAATGATCAACATTTTATTCGATAACGACAAAACACATTCTCTTAAATTTCAAATTCGTCAAGCGTTTCTATGGCCTAGCAATACAACATTTGAAATTCTCTTAAACTTTTCTGTACATCATCTATCAAATTTTGAAGCTCTTAGCATGAGTTTGGATAAAATTGACATTACAGAACAACATATTAATATTTTATTCAAAATTTTAATAAATGAAGGAAACAAACTTCCAAAGATTTATTTAAGAGGATTCAAATCAACAAAGCTTTATGATCTCATTATAGAAGTAAATTGATTAAAATAGGGTAGCACAAAACCGGTTTAATTTTGAAAAAACTGTTTATCAGAGACCATATTGTTCCGTTTAATTTTACCAAAAAAAACCGTATACAGTTTAGCAAAACAGTTTTGTGCTACCCTAGTTTAAAAGTTAAAAATAAATCCAAATTTTCAGTATATAGCAACTTCAAGAGACTTTCCAAGAACGCTGCCTGTCATTATTTTGGATTTTCTTATTTCCAGTAATTTTAAATTAAGTGAAAGAGCAAAGAAAGTTGAAGTTAAGCAAATAAATGAAGTTAAATATACAAAATACCAAATTGTTAATATTCACAATCCAAAAGTGAAATTCTCATTTTGTAATGAAGAGCATTATGGATCAATTAATATTAAAATCAGAAAAGTGGAAGAGTAGAATTTGAGTAGAAGAAACCGGAAATTTTATTTTAATTATTGGACAAAATTATTTTAAAAATTTTTGTTTTTATTTGATTTTTGATTGAATTATTTTTGTTTTATAAAATTTGTTTCTATTTTTTAACAAGTTTAAGCCTAACAATTTTTTTGGAACTATTTTATTAACCACAATACGGTCTCGTTTTAGTGACACCTTTGAGGGGAAAAATAGTATCTTTAGTGAGTTATTTTGAATCGGGGGAATCCTCTCCAACCGAGTGGCCAAACAAATTTAAAAATCTTAGCTTTTATCTATTTGTGGTCATATGTATAGTAAAATAAAATGAAGAACTGTGTTGGGTATTAGCTTTAGTATAAAAGCCATTCTATTGTCTAGTCTGACGTTTCTTTTATTCTATAGTTTGTCTCCATCAACATATTCGTCACTTATTGTTAGCTACATTCTAATTGTAGGTTGTTATTTGTATTATTTTTATCGCGTTGAAGCACAGTTAGTTACTGTCTTATCTAATTTGTTCATTTGTTAGTACATAACAAACCGTATAGATTTTAATAAATTTTAAACATAATTTTCAGTGCTTAATCAATTTTTTCTAAAAAATGTTTTATTCTTTACCAATTGAGACGAAGCTTGATATTTTTAAATGTCTCAATTATGAAGAATTATGTTCAATCAAACAAACAAATTTATATTTTCGCGATTTTATTAATAATTTTGAAGGAAAACTTGCTCGGGAGAAATTAATTAATATCTCTATTGTAACATCCTTTAGTTAAATTAATTTTTAAATATTTTTAAAGGAATATCTCAATCAAACTAAAAGACTTCTTCATAAATTAATTAAACCTAAAGCTGGAAATTTCGACTTTCCATTGAATGAACAACTCGAAGAGAGGGTAATTAAAATATTTAAAAGTAAAAAATTTTTTTAGTTGAAGAATGGACTAGAAAACCCGATTCCTTTTTATTTGCCCGATCAAGATTTTACAAACAAAAATATTGTTATTGGTTTGTCTAAAGGTAGAATTCTGATAATTTTTCTGAGTCAAACGCTGTCTGCAGCGAGAATTATATGCAGCAGTAATTTGGGCAATATTTCGTAGAGGAAATTCGTTTCGCCTCTGTATGAAAATAAAAGTCTAACTTTGTTTCGAGATACCAAAAATTTTTATTTAATAACTTTCTTTGTACTTTGGTATATAAATCTTTCATCCGGGCTTACCGAAAAGTTTTCATGGTTGAATTAAATCATTTTCAGTTTGTGTCGATTACACTCATCATATTAAACTTCAACTGCCAACAATTATTAAAAACAAAGAGGACATCAAAATACTTTATTATTATTTAAATAAATTATTTAATTGTTCTTTTAAATATGGCTTTATCGATGATTTTGTGTTCAATCCAGAATTAATCGAATTATTATTTGGAAGTATTCCTAAACAATTTTATATTCAAAGATCCAATTTGTACGTTATGGATAACACAATTGAATATATTCAAATTTATTTTGAATCATTTAATTGGTGGAACTCTTATACTCCATTTTCATGTAGATAGAGCAGACATGAAAGAATATATAAATATTTTATTTAAAATTTTAACGAGGGGAGATAATTTCGAAGAAGTTTATTTGATGTTTACTAGACGGGCAGGAATTTCGAATAATATAAATATAACAATGCTTTATGATTATATTGCTGAAGTAAGCTGATTGGCAGGGAGACATATCGGGACTTCATAGACAAAAATAACTTGAATAAACTATCCAAGATAATGGCCATAAGTCGTGAAACCAGTTGAGGTCCGTATGTTGAATCAAAAATGTAGTCCCGATATGTTGACTCCTCAGAAATGTTTAAGAAAAATTTTTTAATTTTTAGTATATAGCAACATCTAGAGACCGTTTAAAACTTGTACATGATATTACTCTTGATTATTCTTCTCCCACAAGTTTTAAATTAAGCGAAAGAGCAGAAAAAGTTGAAATTAAACAAATGAATAATTTAAAATCTGCCAATTATCAAATTGCCAATATTTATGATCCAAAACTGAGATTCTCATTTTACAATGAAGAATGGAATGATGAATTGAATTTCAATGTCAAAATTAAAATAAAGAAAGTAGAATTTGAATAACGAAAATAAAGTTTTTGATTTATCGGAGAAATACATATTGATAAAAAATTTGCTGTTTTTCATTGACTTTTTGTATTAAATTATTTTTCATAATTATTTTATTATTTTTTAGCTGGCTAATGCCTCATTTTAACTCATCACTATAATGTACACTGCTGCGCTAAAAAATAGTATCTAATAATGAGACGCATCACAAATTAGGGGTGTCGTCTAGACAGTTATTTTCTCTTATCAAGTGGTTGTCCAAATTTAAAATATAAAATTGCATCTATTTTTGGCCATATGTATTTAAAATTAAGTACTGTGTTGGGTAGTTGCGTTAGTATAAAAGTCAGTCCGGTATTTAATTTGAGTTGATTAGTGTTATTCTGTTACTATTTTTTTCTATTTTGTCTCTAACAATATACATTGTTGCCTAAATTGTGGTTTGTATCGTGATAAAGAACGGTTTGTTAGTTGAGATTCTGTAGTTTAGTACCTAACAAACTGTTTATATTTTCAAATACTTATTTTTTAAACTTAATTTTTATATATTTTATTCAAAGTTCAGAAAGATGTTTTATTATCTACCAACAGAGACAAAACTTGATATCTTTAAATGTCTCAACTATCAAGAATTATGTTCAATCAGTCAGACGAATGTTTATTTTTGTGATTTTATCAATAATTTTGAAGGAGAACTTGCTCGAAAGAAATTTCATAAAATTTCTTTTGTAACGTTTTTCAATTAATTTAGCTGAAGAATATCCTGTTAAATTAAATAAACATGAAGCTGAAAAATTTGAGCTTTTATGGAATGAAAAACTAGAAGAGAAGGTTGATTCGATTATATATATTTAAAGATTTCCTTTTTTTAGATGAAAAACAAAAACTTGAGATTGTCCGAGTCGGGTCGAGTACGAGTATACCCGACTCGATCTCTCGATTTTCAAAATTTCTGAAGGCCAAACAGAGGGATAGAGAATCGGATCTTGTTATCACCTTTCGACGATATACATAATCAGACGATATCCCAATTAATATCTCGAATTTCCCAGATTTTGCTCTTAATACTCCCAAATCCCACGATAATCAGCCCAAATCCCGCTTAATCCTTTGATATTCATCTCATTCCTCTCACTCGTATCCTCATACCCTACACATATCAACCGAAATTATATTATCCATTGATTTTCCACCCGAAACCCGGAGACCCTCTTATTTGTTAATTAAACTGAGAAAGTAGAAATTTGTTAATTTAAAAGAAGTTAATTGATCAAAATTGAGACATTTTAATACATCAAGTTGAACTTCAGTTGGAATAGAAAACATTTTTAATTATCTAAAAAATAGGGTGAAAATCTCGAGATAGATTAAAAGAAAATCAAAAATCAACTAAATTGTATTGCTAATGATCACTATGTAGTCGGATTAGGATTTAAATTATCTACTCAAAAACGGAGGCAAGAGATACCATTATACAATGAAATTTTGTTGAATAAGTGAAAAATATAAATGAAAAATGGTAAAACTAGTGGGTGATAAATGCTTTAATTTTTAGGAATGGTCATCCATAGTAAAATAACTGAATGGCAAATAAATGTTGGAAAAAGAAATTTTCGACTTTATAAGTTTAATTCTCCTTTATTCATTCTCATTGCCTAATTACACAGAATGGGCGTCGTTTCAAAAACGTTTTGTGAATGCCCTGCAAACTCAATAATTTACTATATTAAATGTTAATTTTCAAATGAGAGGGGAAAATTGTTTAAACACAACAAGATGTGTTTAAAAATAAATTGAAAAGATTTAACCTGTTAAAAATTGATACAAATAAATTTATAAAAAAAGATTAATTGAAAGTAATACCGTAAGGTACTACTGAAGATAGGAGGGCTTTTTCTGCGGACTTTTTTTGCGGACTTTTCCTTTTTTTAAACGTGTCTTTCTTAATGTTTTGGTTGTCTTGCTTGTAGCAAGTTTTGCTTGTAGCAACTAACTGTCAAAGGATTATTTTTTATGTCAATTTGAAAAATATGTGTTCACCATTAATTTGAACATTATAAACGTAAAATGTTACAATCAATAAAAAATTTGACTTTAACTAAATTTTCAATTACCCGATGATGAATTTCAACTATGGATCACTGATCTCGGAATGCTTCATAGAAAAAAAAATATGTAATTGTGGAACAGAAATGCGGGTAATTTTAAATCTTGCCCCCCCCCCCCCCCCCCCGCCTCCATTCCATTATTTTTATTACCTAAGATTGTACAAAATGGTCAGATTTCTTTCTTCCTCTCTTTCCTCTGAGCTTGGCATATTCAAACAAGACATTGTTGATAAAGAGAACATTAAAATTAATTGAGTTGTTCACTATTATTAATCGAGTTGTTCAATATTGAGTTCAATTTATTTTTCAGTTGTTCTATATTTTTAAATATAAGTACGAATGTAATGTTTTTACACAGAAATGCATA